TGCACAGTTGGTGCCCATGGGGATGCCAACCACTTGCTGATATATTTCCCTTCCAAATTCAACAAAGATGTTATTAATTAAAAAATCCAACATATGAATTATCTTGTTAATTTTCGTCGGCCTCTAACTTTTTCCCATGGTTGGACGCTTTCTACACAGATGGTGCAACATGTAGCAACCCGTTGCTCAAAAGCAGGTATGAGGTTCGCCGTGAATATCATGAGATACACAAACTGGAAATTGCATATTAAACATGCCACCGTCGGCTCTACATTTCAACGTAACCAACCTCTTTAGTGTATCCTTCCGCCTCAAAATCATGAATATTTACCAAAACCTAGAAGAAAATGTATATTCAAATCCTTTTCTTCGATTCTACACCAAAAAGTCAATAAAAATCGCCATGCAAAAGGGGAAACAGGGAAAGGGGGAAATATATTAATAACATTTGCACTAGATTACTATACATTGATAAAACATGTATAGCTAGTAATCGTATTTAATCATGCTGTACGCATAGAGATATTATTAAATATGAAAATGTGATGTCAATAAATATTTCTCAAAATTCTGTATACTTTGTGTTTAACTAATATCGTAGATGTAGGGATTAAATGTCGGTCAACCAACTTCGTGTCTGTTCTCAAGCGAAGCTACTGTAGACAGACAGTGTTAGTTCCGTTATAGTGATTACGTACATTATACCACCACCTTTTTAATTGCGAAGTTTATTCTAAAAAAGCTCTTCAAGAAAGTCTCCGTTAAGTTGCATTTATTCGACGGAGCCACGGTTTATCGGTGCCCATGACGCTGGATCACTAACCAGAGACGGTCCAAACAACAAAAACTTTGTAAGTTATTGTGTCATACAATAAACGCGGACTTGCATGGCAACATTATTGATGCGCAATTTTTTGTACTGGTTTCACTTGTATATTTTGTGAATTTATTCTAAGATATCCGCCAAGAAATCATCCTTTAAATGTATTAATTCAATGGAGCCACGGTGGCTCGGTAAATATGGCGCTGGCTAACTAACCAGGAGCTCTTGGTTTCGACACTATCTCCCGTCTAGTAGATTCTTTGATAGTTGGAATTTGAAATAAGAGTAAAAGTTAACATATTTTTGAAAAGTAATTTAATAAAATAGATTATCTAGATAATAATTACAAATGCGTGACGGTGATTTAAGTTACTGCCAACACGTTTTTTGGAACATTAATCTCAGTATATTTGCCTCCTGCTGAGAATGAGTTCTTTATTCACACCAAATGCACTTGTCTTTTAAGTTTTCATATTGAAAAGGCTTTTTCTGTTTATAGCTCATGCATTAACTGTGCAAGATGCTGTTTTAATTATTTATATTGCGAGTATTTCTATAGACTTGCAGTGGTCTAATGGGATAAGTTTTTTACCAGGATGTTAGACATTTCATTGCACCATCAGCACGCGAGAGAGAGAGAGAGAGAGAGAGAGAGGGGGGGGGGGAGAGAGAGAGAGTACGTTCACTCGACACAAACGAGGTCATATCAGGACTAACATATGATTTTATTTTATTTCCATTATAATTCGCTTGGTGGAGGGAACCGGAGGACCCAGGGAGAACCCACGAGGTTCTACGCCAGTTGACTCAATCTGACGTGCAAGCATTAGGCAATTTGGAAACAGGTCACCATTAGTGCCACAAATGTCGTACTCAGATTTTATTGCCAAAGTTAATTTAGTCTTCCTCTCCCTTTCTTTAGTGACTTTTTTGGGGTGTTTGAATAGACATTTCTGCCAGGATTTCGTGAATATTCATCATTTTGAGTTGGTAGGATAAGAGAGTTAAGACGTTGGTTAGGTTGAAATGTAGGGCAGACAGTTGCATGTTTAGTATGCTACTTCCAGTTTGCCTATCTCAAGAGTTCCATAGTGAACCTCATACCGGCTTTTGAGCAAGAGGTCGCCAGATGTTGCTCCATCTGTGGTAGAAAACCTTTATCCCCATGAAAATTTGGGAAAAAGTTAGAGCTGGTCAAAGAGACAAGAATTAACATTGAGTCAATGGGAAATGAATGGTGATATTAATGGCGATCTGTGTCCATTTAGCCAACCAAAAACTCTCTATATTATTTTATGGATAACCTACAAAGCGGTTGTGCAATGGTATGGGCATCTTTCCAGCAAAGGTTACGATTCGCTTCTCTTCACCTTCAATCTTAACCTTGGCTAGCGAAGATGAGGTATTAGACTGGAGGAATCGGTTATACTAAGCAGCCCTGCATCCAGTCACCCGCGTTAAATAAGTTTTATCTGCGATGCGAAACAAAGTTCATATATTTCTTATACGCACCGCAGTGGAGTCTTATTGGTAAGACATTTAGTCTTTTAGTGTCGTAGATCACGTGATAGTAACACAGCTTGGGAATGAGAAAGAGAAATGGGGTTTAACGTCCACGACACAAACTAGGTCATTTCGGGACTAACATATAGTTCAATTTTATTTCCATAATTCGCTTGCGCGTAGGGGTCTTTAGCAGTGTGAGGAAACCGGAGGACCCGGAGAAAACCCACGAGGTTGGACAGGCGAACCTACTCCTTGTCATGTACAACCGGGGATTCGAAACCACGTCAGTTGACTCAATGACAGACTTAATGATACAGCGCGCACGTGCTAACCACTAAGCCATCCCCCCCCCCCCCCCCCGCTTGGGAATAAAACCAAAACTATCTAATGAACCTGCTATTAAAATGCTGTAGAATTAAATAAATTACATATTGTAAAAAAAGTGATCAATATTCTAATCAATAAGGATTGTATGGCAGTGTAATTTGAATAGTCTAACAACAGCTGAAATATGCTAAGAATGTCTTTCACATAGGTAGTCAGTAGATATTTGCTACAAACCGTCGTTTTGAGTATAATGATTTCCAGCACATTAGATCAAATTCCTACCGTTGGCTGTCAGTTATTTGCTCAGCCGGATCTATATCGCAAAGCGCCCAATTCTCTTAAAAGACAAAATTTTAATTGTATATATAATAATCTTTTTGTTTTTCATTTTAAATTTTTATTAAGAGGTCTTGTTTTTAATTTCATTAAATTATGATAACTTATGATAAATATTTTGTTATATTGTATTATGTATTTTTGTGACAATTTTTTATTTGTCTCGCACTTATCACTATGTATTTGGCGCAATATAGCCTGATTGCTGCTGACATGCTACGAGCGTATTAAACACCATTTCATGTCTGTCGCTGTTTTCAGAAAAAAATGTTATTTAAACGCGAATTGGCGTCGTTATTTGTGGTATGAAAGATGTATTATGTGAGATTTAAATAGAACGCTAATGAATATATTCAATATTTCAGTAAAATTACGTTATTCGTGCTTGAAGTTAGGACAAGATCGTAAACAGAGTTTTTTTATGGGCTTGTCATGTAAATAAATGTCTAATCGAGGCCAAAATATGCAAAAGGCAGATTAAGCTCTTACAGTAAGTGCAAGAGGACCGCAAAGATAAACCTACGGACCAGACACAAACTACACAGACACTGAAGCAATAAAGAGCAGTGGGAAGAAACCGGAGGACCCGGAGAAAACCCGTTAGGTTGGACAGGCGACCCTACTCCTAGCGTACAACCCGGTGAATCGAAAAGACGTCAGTTGACTCAATGACAGACCTTATGATACCGCGCGCACGTGCTAACCATTCGGTCACCCCCACCCCCACTTTATAAAGCATCTTTAAATAAATCTATCTTTTTTTTTCAATCAATTCTTTCGGATGCTGCAGTCTGCAATATATATTTTACTAGTCTTTAATTTAATCAATCTTTCATGGTACATGTACTTTATTCTGCATCCGACCTTCAACTATTCTTAGAGGTTATACCTTTACCATTTGAAATACTTCAAAGGCAAAGATCCGGAATTGAGACGGATACACTTTAATCTGGCATCGTGGTTTAAACCACGGGTTTTCAGAGCAGTGTTAGTATTCTGCTGTTTTAGAAAATGGGTGAATCAGTCCGCAGTCAGCTATCTCTCGTTATAACGGCACCGCACGCTGAGAAACAGTAAGAAACACAACAAATCTGTTACCTACATTTCTTGTGAGTCTTGCAAATTTGGGGAAGTTTGATTTTGGGTTCATATCCTGTTAAGTTGCATGTTTATTATAGTTAATAGATAACCTGATAGTCAACACATGTCTGAAATCAAAGTCCATGTATTGTTGCGGGTTGTAGATGTAAAACTAAGTGCAAAACCCCCAAAACGAAGACCCCCTCTATTATTGCTAAGTGTGTACCATAATGTTCACAAAAAATATTTAAAAAGTTTGTAATGTTATAATTGCTATAAAAGCATAAGGTTGGGAAGGGGAAGCCCCAATAGCGAAGACACCCTTGAAAAGTTCATTCCTTTACTATCATCAATTTTGTCACTGAGATACAGGCACAATCATAGATCTTTATACGATATGAGAAATATCTTAGGGTTAGGTTTAAGAATTTGGGTTAGGTTTATAAATTACATGTCAAAGTACAAATTGAAGCTGTAACAACGGTAGATTGTGGCTAAAACTATTCTGAAGGGTTAGGGTTAGAATTGTGGGTATAGGAATGCATAACTCGTAGAAAGTTGAGTTGTCCGAGGTGGCAACTTGTAACACCAGACACTACCAGCAGTGAGTGACCTTTCATATGTATTTAGTAGTAAATGTATTGCTTATGACAGCTTGTATTGCTTTCAAATATTTTTATGATTTTGAAGCACCAATTCTTTACGTAATAATATTAATAATTAACAAAATATTTTCCTTGGGTTGCATTATGCGATTGAGCACAATGAAAACATAACACTTTGGAATGAAGTCATTGGATTGTTACAGTAGACAGTATGTGCTTGAGAATGATAAGAGAACACTTGTCGAAACGTCGTGTAACAGACCAGTGTTTTCATTCCTATAAATTATATTGTGTGTTTAACAAAATATTTATGCTATACATACCTGGCTTTAAATCTAACGTCAAGTTTCTGTTAGCTGGCATGTCAACTTCCCCTTCTGAAATATACATAACAATCAATATATTACAGTCTACACACCATAACATAAAGATGACATTCCATAAAATACATGCGTATTTTTATTATAGTTATTTACATAGTTTGTTGTATAGGACTATAATATATAGGTCATCGATAAAAACAAAACATTTATATATATATTATTATAATAGAGTGCTATAAAACATACTGTACGCAATGAATCCCATGAGGTAACAACAGAGAAAGAATCTTTTAAACAAAGAGAAGAATACTCCTAAGAAAGTATATATCAAAACAGCTAATACCACAATAGTGGAGTTGGTGTCAGGGAAAGAGTAAGCATACCCTGTCATATGCATGGCATGTCCAGGACTGTAGCTAGTCCAAACATGTTGGGGAAGGGAGGGGCAAGGGTTTCTGGGGGCACCAGAAATTTTGGAAAATAGGGTTTGCAAGTGAGGAGAGGAACTATAAAAATGACGGAAAATTTCAATTTTGAGGCTTAATTTGCATATTTTCGTATTATGTTATTTTGATATGAACATTATAAAAATTTGAAGGAAGGATACGACTTTAGCGTATCTATAATAATTTATTAGGAAAAACGAAAAGTTCGGAATCGGGTTAGAGTGCGACTTGTTTGAATTTTGAAGACTATCACGCCTGGCGCGGGCTTGAATCAATCTCATCCTAATCGTGAATTTAACCAGGAAAATGTCCTACAATCTCCAGTTGGCTTATTTATGGCAGATTTCGTCGTGGGCGGCCCACCAATCTCGGCAATATGGGCGCCCCTTCGGAATGAGGCACCCCACCAATCATGCCGTTTTGGGCGTCCCATTGATCAAGTCATGGGCGCCCAACCAATCTCACTCGGCATTGTGCATTATGTGCGACCCGACAATGATATATTGTCATTATAAGGCGCCCCACCAATCATGTCATTATGAGCGACCCTCCGGGATACGGCACCCCACAGATCACGCCGTTTTGGGCGCCCCATCAATCAAGTTATAGGGCGCCCATACTGATATGGACACGTTGGTCGTTGGCTTCGTATTGCGCCCAGTGGATTTAGCGATTAAATATTGGGGCTAGCCACGATCATCTTTACTAAAGTCGGTAGGATAAAAAAACATAGTCTTGATTATCCATTTTTTGATTTAATTATGAACGGAAGTCGAACGGCAAATCGGAACGTAATCCAATCAACATCGCAGACTAGCGAAGCCATCGGGAGTTGATTATCGTCTGGATAAGTTAATTAATGTCTAATTAATAATTTAGATAACATTTCAGGCCTAAAGAAAGACCTGCAATAGGCAGATTTTGCTCTTGCATAATGTATGTTTAAATAACAATATTACGCCAGGAAAAACGCAAGTTTATAAGCATGCATTGAAAATCAAATGAGTCTAAATTTTACACGACAATATGAATAAAAACAAATATATAAACAGACTTACTGTATGTAGAGAGCAACTAGATAAACACAATAACAGACTAATGTTACATTCATATACCAAACTATCACTGATTTTATTAGTACTAATACAATGATTGTCTAAATAGCTCATATTATAATTTACAAACTAGAATATCAAAGCCTAGATTAGGGTGCGAAACATTGTGTTATTAATTCCCGCGCATTCCTGGCATGGTTATTTGATGAGTAAATAGTATATAAATAAAGAGGTCAGAGATGATGATGGATCAAATCCTGCTTCCTCATATATACTATATTACAACTATTCTCTTATTCTCTAATACCATGTCTCACATAGTCAACTCCGTTTTTGACCAGGAACTGGAGCAAAAGCGCTATTTGTGTTGTTCAAAAATGGCGCCATACTCGGTTCCTGGTACATAGTATGATCGCACTTGTTTTTATGTTACCTTTGTATTGAAAACACTTTCCTATTTTGAAAGCCGGCGAAAGGTATGTTGTTTTTGTTTGAAAGTTTACCTTTAAACTTAAATCACTGTATTTTAATTATTTGTAGAAATATATTGTTTTGTTCTTTTTTGGTTTTCTTTGAATATTATTCACGTGGTTTGCTGAATCAGTCAAGAAGGATGTAAGCAAAAATGATACCATGATTCATGTTGATAAGCGGATGAAAACACCAGCTAAATCGAGACAGTTAACTTAACCCAAAATATATAATGGTATGTAGCCCATTGGAAATGAAATGGAATGTAGTTTAACGTCCTACTGTTCTAATCCTAAACTGGACTAATGAAGACGGGTATACGCCATACAGTGTGCTAAGGGGGAAATTTTGCCCGGGCAGCGGCACTATGTCCTACTCTTATATCAAATTCCAACTGCCAAGGGATCTTTTACGTGCATGCCAATGTATACAGGGGGACCTCGGTTTTTCGTCCCACCCAAACGACCAGATTGCGGTCCTTTCAGTTTGTTGAACTATTCTAACTGGATGATCTGGAGATGTATAAGTGGTGAATGCCGTTGATGATTGTTCTCAATTCAAGAGGCCAACCATAAAAAAAACATCTTCACAATAACTAGTATATTAGGATGTACGTTTTATGATATATCTTAACTTGGATTTGTTTCTTAAAGAACAATAAATTTCAAATTCAGTGCTAAATTATTTAAATAGCACTGCAGGGTGCAATTTACATTAAGTAATATTTGATTGCTTTATCCCAGACCCGTGCCTAAGGATATGGCATTGACAACAATACCCACTAAAGTTGCGGAAAAGATAAAGTCTGCGTAACAAGGGGAATAGGCATTTGCTGACATCTTCATGAACACGATTACCATGCAGAGCACCACATGTATCAGTGTCGTTATGTTGCTCTAAACCTGTCGACTGGTAATATGTATACCATATTGATATGTTTCATAGTCAAATACAGCCGGAAATAATCCTTTACACTATCATAAAATACGTGGCTTCACACTTAGATACTCAAAGCAAGTTATGCGGGATGTCGGTCTTTACTTGTGCGTAGGACACACTAGGCAAATTTTACGGCGAATCTGGACTTGGACATTCGCATGAGCTTGTACCAACACCATTCACCAATATTAAACATGTTTAATAATTATCGTCCGAATATTTGTCGCCACCGAATCGTTCGGCGAATGTATCCACTCCGGCGAAGAGTGTCTCGACTTTTAGAATTCTTCAGCAAATTTGATTAAAACCGTTCGAAGCTGTACATGACAAAATGACGACCTAATATGACTAATGTCGCATCGACACATGCGTTAATTAAGTTTCAGAAGAATTATTCGCTGAGAAACCGGCACAGAGATTCGCCTTGTGTGTCCACCGGGGTTCCCAAGCAACTCCGGCGGCGAATACTTTGGCCGAACTATAGGCGAATAAAATTCGCATAGTGTCTCCAAGGCATTAGTGTGTCGAAGATTTGACTCGGTAGGGTTTGGCACGCTCTCTTGCATTATGTCTTTTTATGGCTTCAGATGTTAAATAAGTTATTTATTATTTTAAACATTTATTAACATAATGCTTAAATACTGTAGCGACGATAATACAAACCAAACTACGTTTTGTCAAAACTTCAAACACTTATAATTCGCACAGAATAACGTAACTTGACTGAAATTTTCAATATATTCATTTTACATTATCTACTTTCAAACTATTAAAGCAAGTATTTTATCTAATAATCAATGCACCCCTAAAGATGCATTATATATATAGGATGTTTGACTTCCCATTTTACTTGTAAAAATATCTAGTATTAGAAAACATGAATACGGGGTTCGTAAATTTGCATCTTCTGGAGTAAAATGGAGAATGTCATGGCGACGACGGTGGTGTGTAACACTATTAGTGATAACAGAGATCAGTTTCGCACATATAGGATTTAGTTACATCGGGAACAGAATAAGAAAAAGCTACATAAACACAACAGGAACATACATACATCAGGAACCTGAACGATACATGAACACGGTACATCAAAAGTTTAAGATAACCATTTCGCACCTCTGCCACGGCAGCGGCTGAACTCGGTGAGTCCATTTAATCAAAAGCATTGTCACTGCATTTGGAAATTGTTTAGTTGGTAATTAAATACGTGCATATATTATGTAATAAACGTGTATGTAGGGGATAGTATGGCTTATATCCTAGAACAACAACGTAGTGTTCAATGGGTTCGCACAGGTGGGGTTCATATTGGCTTGATGCATCTAAATAAATAATACGATACAAGTTATGGAACACTTTGTCACAGGTGAAATAGATGTCTTTTTAACAAGACGTCTAATAAACTAAGAGTCAGCGTTACTCATTGATGAATTGTAATGAAAATTGTAACCATGATATATCAGGGTAAATTTCCATTGATTAATTAAAACAAAAGAAAATCCTTTGGCTTTTTCCATTCTCTCATCTTAATTTCAACCCCGGATATCCCTGTCTGTCCTCTGATCTGCTCAACCTGGTAACATACTAGTAGTTGAAAGGCATCATATTGCTAAGTATTTGTCATACATATCTATCGTTCGAAAACTAAATATAACTATAGCTGTTGCGTGTCTCTTATGTTTAGAATGGGTATTTGTCTGAATTGTTTAAACCAAACGCGGAAGAAAAGTATAACGTATTCATCTTTTACTATAATCACTCCGGATTTCCCTATCTTTACATCTGTAAAACAAACCCGGTATGTTCTTTTGAAAAAGAATAATATCTGATTTTATTGTCTTTTCAATTCAATTCAGACATATGAAAATGTTCCAACAACAGAAAGAAAATTACAAGCTGAGATAAGTTCAAAGTATTTTTATTGTGGATGTATGGATTACTTGTTGCGTCACCTTAGACCATGTCTCGCAATAAACGTTTTTACTTCAATGTTTGTCATGTACATAGAATAAATATTATTGATAAATCAATCCACGCGTATTCAAGTTACACAAGTCCAAAGTACGAGGTTGAGAAATCGTGACTCTCATGTGCGGGTATTCAACTGTGGACCAAATGACATGGACCGAGTACGATCGTTTTT